TTTTTTTTTTTTTTTGAAGTAATCTCTCCACCCGATGTGGGGCTCGGACTCACACCCCCGAGATCAAGAGTTGAGCGTTCTACCGGCTGAGCCAGCCAGGCGCCCCTCCAGCCCATTTTAAACTTCTAGAACAAATAGCTGCATCCAAAACAACATGGTATTGTTTCTTGTGTGTGGTTTCTAGGATTTACATAAGTGGTGTCCAACTCTACATGATGTATTCTATAACTGGCCTTTTCCACCATGCGGTCATTGGATTTTTCTAGCCACAGCCATGTCAAAATATAGAGCTTCGAGTCATTTTTTTTTTTAAAGATTTTGTTTATTTATTTGAGAGAGAGGGAGTAGCAGGAGCAGGGGGAGCGGCAGGCAGAGGCAGAGGGAGAGGCAGGCTCCCCGCTGAGCGGGGAGCCCGATGCGGGGCTTGATCCCAGGACCCCGGGATCATGACCTGAGCCGAAGGCAGACGCTTAACCCGCTGGGCCACCCAGGTGTCCCAGCGGGTCATTTGTTTTTAACTGCATACCTATATCCTAGCTTATCCCCGTAAAAAGACTGAAGGCAATGGAATGAGTGGTAAAAAGAGAGACAGCCGGGGTTTCATTCCCAGCACCCAGCCTTACTTGCTGTGTCTGCCGAGGGCCTTTCCCCTCCCGTTCTGGATTAGCCTTGGGGATAACCCCCCGCCTCACAGGGGCATTGTGTGGTTTGAATGAGGCGGTGTCGGAGAAAGCACCTAAAGCCCTGTCTAGCACATACCAAGTTCATTACTAGTAGTTCCCTTTCTTCGGCCCCTGTTGACTAGCAGGGAGGGGCAATAGTGGAAGACTAGATTCAATGTGATGGAGTGCTTTAAAATATTTTCATTTTTAGGGGACGCCTGGGTGGCTCAGTCGGTTGGGCGTCTGCTTTCGGCTCGGGTCGTGATCCCGGGTTCCTGGGATCGAGCCCCGCATCAGGCTCCCTGGCCTGGTGGGAAACCTGCTTCTCCCTCTCGCTCTGCCCCTGCCCCCGCCCACCCCCACCCCCCGTGCGTGCGCTCTCTCTCTCAAATAAATAGATACAACCTTTAAAAATAAGTAAATATTTTCATTTATCGGGAAGGTTCATCTCTTTTACAGACTGAAGACGTTTAGCCATGCAATCTACAGTCACGCACGGATCCGCTCCAGCCCGGGGCCGATGAAGGCGAGTCCAGGTGCATCGAGCATTGACTATCCCAGTGCGGGAGCAGCGGTCCATGCCCCTGGCAGCGGGGCTGCCCCCCCACTTCCCAGACACGCCGTTTCTCCTTCAGATCTCTCCCCTCAGAGGCCCTGCTCTTCCCCAGACCCCAGGCTGTCTGGTCCCAGGCTGGCAGCCAGTTCCTCCAGAGCGGCTTCCCCTGGCCTCGGGGGAAATGGCTGGAGTAGCAACTCCCGCGGCCTTGGGTCTGGGGAGGTCTGGTACAGACAACGCCATGGAAGAGGCTGCTGCCTAGAATCATGTGAAACCCTCACTTCCTCTCTGTGTAGCGCAAGTTGCCGACCACAAGCACCAAAGCAGAGGGGCAGGCAGCACACAGCCCGGCAGCCAGAGTACCAGTCCGGCGACGGTCCCTGAGGTAAGCGCTGCTCCAGCAGGCCGGGAGGGGACACAGGTACGCCGCTCAGAGCGGAGAGCCCGGGATACTGGGGCAAAGTCCGGGCTGCCCACCTCCCCCCGCCCCACCCCGAGCCGGGGCCACCTGGGGGTTGGGTGAGTAGACAGACAATGCAGGGGTTGTGGTAGAAGGAGCCCTGGGCCGGGGAACTGGGAGCCCACCGTGGCCCCCCGCCTTGTGCAGGACCGCGGACGAGTCCCCTGTCCTGTCTGGCCTTGGCGCCTCATCTGCAAAATGCGGGCCGTAGAGGCTCACCCCCCGACGGCCTCCAAAGCTGCCTTCAGCTCTGAGTTAGCACTTACTCTTCCACGCGGGACTGAATTGGCACTGAGAAGGCTCGTGGCCCCGGGGTGGTTTGCAAGGTGACGGGGTAGGGAGTAGTTCTACTACAGTTGGGCTGGGGCAACCCCCAGTGGGTGGCAGGTGGCCTCCGCGTTTGGGAAGGGAAGAACAGGAGCCGAAAGCATGGGATGGGGGGGCTGGGGGGGGCTTCAGTGATTTGTGGAGGGGCCCCATGGGGAGCAGGAAGTTGGGGTCCCTAGGCGAGGGCTGAGGAGGGAAGTAGAGGGCCAGCGACTAAGAGAGGGGACTGTGGGGAGGTGCCTGGGGAGGCAAGTGGTAGAACTAGGCGTGGCCGGGGAAACAGAAGGCCGAGTGGTGAAGGAAGAGCCAGGAGAGGGGGAGGGGGGCAGGGAGGGCTCTTGGCATGGGAGGGCAGCTTTCCCTCGGGCCCGCAGTCCCCGGGCTGATGGGGCGGCCCAGAAGGGTGAGACAGAAGCTGGCTCTGAGATGAGAATTTACCCCGCCACCCACGGTGGTTGGGGTTGGGGTTGGGGTTGGGGATGGGGATGGGGTTGGGGGGGCCGGGGGGGGCGGTGATGGCCAAGGCCCGGCAGACCGAGCTCTGAGCTCCGCAGGCGAGGCCTCGGAAGGAAGGCAGGAACAGTGACGCGCGGGATGGCCCCGGCCTGGGGCCTGCCTGACGGAGGGGCCGCTCAGAGCCACGCTCCCACGGTGAGTGCCAGGCCTTCACGGGGTCCGTTCCCTGCCTCCGCCCGCAGATGAGCGAACGCCAAGTGTTCCAAGCGTCCGAGCTCGCCTTCCTGCTGGAGAACTGCAGCTCCTCCTATGACTACGGGGAGAACGAGAGCGACTCCTGCTGCCCGTCCCCGCCGTGCCCGCAGGACTTCAGCTTGAGCTTCGACCGCACCTTCCAGCCGGCCCTGTACGGCCTCCTCTTCGTGCTGGGGCTGCTGGGCAACGGCGCCGTGGCGGCCGTGCTGCTGAGCCAGCGGGCGGCCCGGAGCACCACCGACACCTTCCTGCTCCACCTGGCCGCCGCCGACATACTGCTCGTGCTGACCCTGCCCCTGTGGGCGGTGGACGCCGCCATCCAGTGGGTCTTCGGGTCTGGCCTCTGCAAGGTGGCCGGGGCCCTCTTCAACATCAACTTCTACGCCGGGGCCCTCCTGCTGGCCTGCATCAGCTTCGACCGCTACCTGAGCATCGTGCACGCCACCCAGCTGTACCGCCGGGGGCCCCCGGGCCGCGTGACCGTCACCTGCGTGGTCGTCTGGGGGCTCTGCCTCTTCTTCGCCATCCCCGACTTCATCTTCCTGTCGGCCCACCGCGACGAGCGCCTCAACGCCACCCACTGTCAGTACGACTTCCCGCAGGTGGGCCGCACGGCCCTGCGCGTCCTGCAGCTGGTCGCCGGCTTCCTGCTGCCCTTGCTGGTCATGGCCTACTGCTACGCCCGCATCCTGGCTGTGCTGCTCGTCTCCAGGGGCCAGCGACGGCTGCGCGCCATGCGGCTGGTCGTGGCGGTCGTGGCGGCCTTTGCCCTCTGCTGGACCCCCTACCACCTGGTGGTGCTGCTGGACACCCTCATGGACCTGGGGGCCTTGGGCCGCAACTGTGGCCGGGAGAGCCGCGTGGACGTGGCCAAGTCGGTCACGGCCGGCCTGGGCTACATGCACTGCTGCCTCAACCCGCTGCTCTACGCCTTTGTGGGCGTCAAGTTCCGAGAGCGCATGTGGGGGCTGCTCGCGCGCCTGGGCCGGCCCGGCCAGAGAGGGCACCAGCGGCCGCCGTCGTCCTCCCGCCGGGAGTCGTCCTGGTCCGAGACCACGGAGGCCTCCTACTCGGGCTTGTGAAGCCGGACAGGGGCTCTCCTTGCGCCCCGCGGCCCCGACCACCCCCACACCCCAGGCTCCTCCCTCCCTCGCCCCGTAGCCTCACGCCCCCCGCGCGCTCCGGGGATGCCCTGGCAGCCCCGGCACCCCCGGGATCTCCCAGGGAGGCACCCCCTCCTCCCCACCGCCGCCGCAGCCGCCGCAGCCGCCGCCGCAGCCCCTGCTGCTCCTTAGCCGCCACGCCCCACTGCCACTTCGGAGGCGGCTGCCCCTTATCCGGTAACTAGACCTTGGCCTTCCCCACGTTCGGGGAGCACGAAGTGGAAAGCATAGTAGAGGGTGCCCCTATGGGGGGCCCAGGCCTCCAACTCAGCAGCGACTGTAGCTGTGGTCTCCAAGACCTGTGTATTCGCTCCTGGTTTTTTTTTTTTTTTTTTTTTTAATGTCTAAAATTCTGCTTACAAGGTTGCAATAAACAAGGTAATCGGGCCCAGGGCGTGTTCGTCGCGCATCATTACGGCCAGCCCGGCCGAGGCGTCGGGGATGAGTTCCCGGCCCTCCTCGCCCAGCCCCAGATCTGTGCCAGCTTGCGCTGCTTGCGTTAACGTCTACATCGAGCCTCCTCTGGGACCTCCTGGGCGCCCCCGCCCCTCACGGGGAAGCACCTGGGTGCGTGGGTGTGCGCTGTTACCCGGACTGGCCGGCCACTGTAGAGGCACAATTTGGGGAAGGGCCCTCAGACACGAAGACCTAGTCCCGGCACTCCAGAAGCTTAGGCCAGCAGGGACGACGTGGTCAGTCTAGGCCACGTGGCAAATTGGCTCACGGACCATGAACCGGGCGCTCAGAGCCCTGTTGGCAGAGCCGGTGAGGAAGGCTTCTTGAAGACAGAAATGAGCAGACCCGAAGGGACACGTGGTAGGGCCAAGGGCGAAGAGAAGGGAAGACGGTATTTCTGGGCAGGAGGGAAGGCACCGGCAAAACGTGAGGAGGCTGCAAACTGCAAAGCTTAACCAGACCGGGAAGTGCTCCCAACTGGCTAGAGTTAGGGCTTCAGGTAAGGGAAGGGTTGAAAATAATGGGACTCCAAGTTGGTTTGGGATCAAGTGGTGGTATCCGAGGATCCTGCTAGAAGGCCGTAGCCAGCTGTTCACGTGAGAGGGGTTGCGGACGCTCCTTCTGGGATAATGACACATTGGGATCGAAGCAAAGCACCCTGATCGGATGGCTTGCTAACAGTCATTAGCACACAAGCCACCTGGGGGCATTGGGGGCGGGGGCGGCACTACAGCTGAGGTGGAAGCACGTAGAGGAAATGACCAGGGCTCCCCGGAAAGGTAGGCGGCAGGGCTAGTGGGTTAAGATCTTCCCTTTGCAGGAGTAGGAACCACTGCACTGTCAGTCCCCCCTCATTAAGCCACGAACGTGCCGCGATCCGGTTTCATGGGTCAGCTGGGCCTTGGCCAAGGCTTGCAGACGTGGCTGGAGGCAGGCCTGGTAAGGAGGAACCTGAGGATTTCGCTAGGGAAGCTCATAGTACCCGGGGCCCACACCCGAGCCCCTAGACTTGTGGTTAGGCTTCAGCGAAGCATGTGCGAAATAACGGGAGGATGGAAGGAATGAAGGACAGAAGGTTATCAGTGATGTCCAGTGATGCTAGATTAGTGTGGATGTTTGTGGCAGGCCGAGCAATGGGTCCCCCAAGATGTCCACCCTCGAATCCCCAGAACTGGTGAACAGGCTACCTTACATGGCAAAAACGTGGCTGAGGAGCTGACCTTAAAATAAGATTCTCTTGGATTATCCAGCTGGGCCCAATGGCCTCACAAGGGTCCTTAGAAGTGAAATTCAGAAAGGGAAAAGGAGGGAGAGGGAGGGCGAGAGAGAGACAGAGAGAGAGAGGGAGATGTTGCTGGCTTGAAGGATGGAAGGGGGCCACAAACCAAAGAATGCAGGTGACCACTAGATGTTGGACCAGACGGGGAAACGGATCCCCGGAAACCCCAGGGCCTCCAGAGAGAAACACAGCCCTGTCCACACCTCGACTTCAGTCCGGTGTGGTCCGCGCCTGACTGCTGACCTCCCGAGCTGTAAGATGACCCGTCTGTGTCGTTTTCAAGTCACTAAGCTTGTGGTAGTTTGTTAGGGCAACAGCAGGAAATGAATACAACGTCGACCCCCAGTCTGCATCCCGGCTATCTCCCAGGAGTGGGGAGGCTGCCGAAGTGCTTACGGGCAGTCACAAAAATCCTAGACAAACCCAGAATGGAGGGTGCTCTCGCAGACACATTCTGGAGCACTTCCGACGTCCGGCGTCTTGGACGAAAGACCTGAGGGCTGGTTCCACGCGAGGCACAGGTTGTCAATGAACAGACCCCGTTAACAAGCAAATTGCAGAAAACATTTTATTTTTTTTGTCTTAGTAACAACTACACTGGCTCAGCGTGGCTTTATTCAATGTCAAGAGCAACTGAATTCATGAAACATGCTTGTCTTTCGTGTCTAGGTAAGTTTCACAATTTCCGTCTGCCGGCAGCCCTGATCCTGGGAATGCTGCCTCTTTTAAAACTGGTTCACCTCCCAGCAGCCTTCTTCTCTCCACCTGCCCCCTCTTGAAAAAACGCAGTTAGTGTCTGCATTGTGCTCTATGTGTTAGAACTATGTTAAAACTAACTGATACCCAGAGTGGATCCCAACGGCTTGGGAGTACCATCAAGGGCACAAAATTGCTTAGCAACAGAATCCTTGAAGAACAATCATCATTAACAGTATGAGGCTATAAAGAAAACAGTTTAAATCCTATTATTCCTAATATTCATTGCTTATCAGAAACAAGAGATATTTTTCTAAAACTTCTTAGCGGGGGGGGGGCTCAGCCCACAGAAATACACCCCCAGATAACCTCAACGATTCTGCCTTTGCTTTTCGCCATAATCCTTGCTCAGCCGCCTCATCACATCCCCATGGCTCATCCCATTCGTCTCATGCTTAATCATTCTATAATTCTCCTTCACATACTTAGCAAAGGGCCTCACATGGGGTGCAATGGGGGTTCCATCCTTGCGAGTTAACGGCAGCATGACCAGGGGCCCCTTGCACTTGGCACAGATAAAGCGGTCAGTGTTCAAGGATCTGGTATAGCGGCCGACCCTAATGAGGAAAGAGACACCACAAATAGATCAGTCACTGTACCGCAGCGTGTTCTCAGAGCTGCTGGCCTTGGGCCCAAAGCAAGACTCTCAGGCCGGCTCCAAGTAGGAGAGCATGGAGAAAGAAGAGGTGGAAAGGAGCAGAGAAGGTTTACTTCTCACGTCGGCCAGCCATGCACTTACTAACAAAATCACAAAGGGCCAGCTGGCTGGAGGCCGTAGCAGAAAAGTAACCAAAGAAAGTCGGAGGCGGAGGGTCTTACCTGGTTTTGCACCGAGTACATTCATAATGGATCTTGTAGTTAATCTTGTAGTTATGGCAACGAGTGACCATGGGCAGCTCCGGGTGCACTGTATTCGATTTCCTGGCATAATACTTCCATGCGTCACCATGAGAATCACGGATGCCATCGAGAAGCCAGGAGGCTGCATGGCATATCTCATGGATCAAAGTATCCCGGAGACGGTCTTGGAAGGGGGATGGAAAGAAATCGTGAGCACCTGAACCAATTCCCTCCGGTCTGCCACTCAACCACCCCTACCTAGACTCTCGCCCCTGCCACACACCAGCCCCAGGTGGCTTAGCAGGAAGCGGTGTGGTGGTGTGCCGGAGACTGAATGGAGATGAAGAGTGAGGTGACAGGGCCCCACACCTGGGCGGAGGCAAAGGACCGAGGACAGAAGGGTCATTTTGAAGATTTGGTGATTGGCCAGCAACAGGGAGCTACCTGCTGAGAGACAGTTAGCCTAATGGAAAGACGGCCAAGCTGGATTCTCGGGGCTGGGGAGACATCTGATAATCATGTCCTCTGAGCAGAGGCGCCTGGGTGGCTCAGTCGGTTAAGCGTCCGTCTCTTGGTTTTGGCTCAGGTCTCGATCTCGGGGTCGTGAGATCGAGCCCCGCGTCGGGCTCTGTGCTCGGCGTGGTCTGCTTCAGATTCTCTCTCTCCCTCTCCCCCTGCTCGTGCGTTCTCTCTCTCTCTCTAAAATAAATCGCTCTCTCTAAAAGAAATAAATAAATAAATCTTTTCCAAAAATTCTAAAAAATAAAAAAAGATCAGGTCCCCCGAGCAAGGCACAGAAGGCCTATCTAGCCAGGAAGGACAGCAAAAGCTGTGGCATAGGCTGCCGGGAAATACCAGTCCCTACGAGTCACGACACAAGGAAAGGGCGCAGGAGGGAAGCTGCCGTCACCTGCAGAGTCGCAGACTTTCAGAGAAATCTCGATCTTTGCGTAACGCTGCCTCTTCGGGTAACGGGTCTCGCCGGTGGTGCATAAGCCCGCAGTTCTCAGCATCTTTTTATTCCAGCCGATATCTATTTTCTCCGGCAGCTGAGAACAAAACAGCCAGCAGAGTGAGTCAGCAAGCAGCTTCAAGCAGACCAAAGACTGTTCACTCAAGAGCTCTGCAGGGGCGCCCAGGTGGCTCCATCTGTTGGGCGTCTTGCCTTCAGCTCGGGTCGTGATCCCGGGGTCCTGGGATCGAGCCCCGCATCGGGCTCCCTGCTCGGCGGGAAAAGCCTGCTTCTCCCTCAGCCCCTCCTCCCCCTGCTCGTGCTGTTTCTCTCTCCCAGATAAATAAATAAAATCTTAAGAAAAGAGTTCTGCAAATCCAAACATTCTGGGGAGAATAAAAGCCAGGCTGAAGCCCAGGCGAAAACAACACACAGACCATCAGGATACAAGGGAGATGGATGAGGGCACACACATGCAGGACCCAAGTCAGGGGCAGCCAAGGAGAGAGGTGCAAACCTGCTGAGGCAGGAGCTGGAGCCCCCTCCTTCCCGCTCCCCCCGAGCATAAGAGCACAGAGGTGAAATTTCATGTGCACCTCAGTCCCCTCATCAGCCATGTGATGTAACACCAACTGTCATGAGGAGTGACTTCCCC